TGGAGGGGGTGGGGCCAGGGTGGAGGGGGTGGGGCCAGGCACCGGAAGTAGATCATAATTTCCGGTTTGGCTTCGCCGGTGGAGCCGTGGTGCGCCTGGGCCGTTATCTGAGACCTGCGGCTTTTATTCAAGTGAGAATCTTTCCAGGTGATGGCTTTGGGTGATGAGGAGTTAAAACTGTGACAGCCCACTATAGATTCCTAAACTTAGAACCCAGCCTGCCCCAGGAAAGGCCTGGTCCCCACAATATTCCCTCGAATTCCTGGGTATGGCGGTAAAGCCCGGTTGCCATGCCGTGAGGGGCTGGATACAGAGACTCCATGCCATGTGTGGGGCCGGTACAGAATTGTTCCCTATGTGGTATAGGTGGGTCAAGATGGCCTTGGCCTAATGGCTAAGATGCTATCCTGCTTCGTCTTTGGAGTAGGAGGTGGTAGCGTTTCAGTGGAAAGTTTTCAGGGAAGAAAACGGGCGCGGATGGGCGGGGTCGGGGGGCAGGGCTTGCAAAGGTATACGCCCATTTGGTGCCCTCTGTATGGTGTCAGACATTGGGGCTAAGGCTTGCCTTAATTTTCTCCAGTGTGTTACTAGTGAAGATTATAGTGTGAATTTTAAGAGCAGCAGAGTAAAGTGGGAATCTAGACATACTTAAAATTGAACGTGAGGGTTTACGGGGAATAAAATGGAGCCCTAGTGGATGCGCTTCTTTCATCCTAGGAAGCTGTTACTTGGGTTGCCAGGAAGTGATCTAACAAACTCTTGATTCTCTCCGCAGGTTTCTCAGAAGTCGTTTCAACGAGAGAACGGGAACACGATTTGAATCCAGAAAGGTACCCCGAGAAAAGCAGTAGAGGGGGCCCTCCTTGAAGGGAAGTTGTTCTCTGCCTAGTAATGGTTACATAGTGTCATTCTCTATCTCTCTCTCCTCCCCACCCCACATTCTTTCCAGCACTTCGGCCTGCCTACCCGGAGCACCATGCCTAGGGGCAACAAGAGCAAGAGCCGCTCTAGGGCCAAAAGGCAGCAGGCCCGTGGAGAGAGCCAGAGTCTCCAGGGTGCTCTGCCGACTGCAAAGGAGGAAGCAGCAGCAACCCCTCTTGGCCAGGGAGATGCCCCCAGCTCCCCTGATGTCAGCACTCCTCAGGGGTCCCAGAAAGCTGCATCCCATGGCTCTCCTGAGTTAGATATGCCATGCTCAGGCTATGAAGTTGGTGCTGAGAGTTCTGATGCTGGTGCTGAGGGTTCTGATGTTGGTGCTGAGCTTTCTGTTGCAGGTGTTGATGAGAAGCGTGCAAATGCCTGCACTATAGCCGAAGCCATCGATTCTGCACGCAGAGATCCTATGACCAGGAAGGCCAGCAAGGTACTTCACTATCTGCTGGAGAAGTACCAGAAGGATGAGCAGCCTTTGGAGGCAGACATGCTGAAGCTGATCAGCAGGAAGTACAAGGTGCACTTCCCCTGGATCCTGGAGAAAGCCACCTATCAGCTGGAGGTGGTCTATGGTCTGGAGTTGAAGGCTGACAAGCAAAACCCTCAGTCCTATGTTCTTGTTAGCAAGTTACCCATCCTGCCTGGGGCAAATGAGGGTGGCAGGAAAGAGTTGCCAAAGACGGGTCTCATACTGACCCTCCTGGGTATGATCATGATGAAGGGCGACCGTGCCAGTGAGGAAGAGGTCTGGCAGTTCCTCCATATGCAGGGGATATATCCTGGGAGGAGGCACTTAATTTTTGGGGAGCCCCGGAAGTTCATCACCAAAGAGCTAGTTGAGCAAAATTATGTGGAGTACCGCCAGGTGCCTGGTAGCAATCCCCCAAGCTATGAGTTCCTGTGGGGTTCCAGAGCCCGCAATGAAGACACCAAGATGAAAGTCCTGGATGTTTTAACTAAGATCAGAAATGCCATGCCCAGTTACTACCCTCAACAGTATGAGGAGGCTCTCAGTAACCAGGCTGAGAGAGCAGCCAGGAGAGGTGAGGCTTCTGGTTACCATGCTGCCAGGGTTCCCTCCCATTTCCATAGTACCAGCTCCTCCCACACTTAGCTAGCCCTTGGGAATAGCTGTCACTGTGCCAAAGAACAGCCAGTTTTCTGAGTAGTGGGGTGGTTATGGGTAGGAGGGACGGCACTAAGAGAATATCTTACTCTTCTGTTAGGCACAGGAATAGTATAAGTATCTTTCTTTCTCTGTTACATTGTTAAGATTCCTGGAACTGAATATTAAGTTGTCTCATGTATGCTTCTTAACCTTGCATCTGACACATTTATTGCTCTTTGTCAAGTTTAAGAATAAGATATTTGGGGTTTTAAATTTATTGGAAAATTTTCACAGATTTCAGTAAGTGTGAGAAAACATGACATGGGAAAAAGTTTCACAGAGTGTGATGTGCTGCAACTAGTGAAACAAAGTACAAGAGGCAATTCATCCTGGCCTCTGTTGGTTTTGCCTTTATTTGCAATTTTCATGGAAACAAAGTTGGTTTTATTCTGTATTAAACTGTGTAAGAAAATAAACTGTGGTAAATTAAACCTCATAACCAGTCTCTGTCATTTCATTGTTTTCCCCAGCCCTTATTGGGCATCAGCTCTTTGGTAGCTCCTCCCTCCAACATTATTGTTGGTGACAACAAAGATCCACCCACTGCCCACAGGGACTTAGATTTTCCCAGCAGACGGAGGAGGATCAAAAACTCTAAAATAAGAAGGGCATGCAAAAGAAACGATTGGGAAGAGCAGAGAATTTCTGATTGATACAGCTACCCATTTTCTGATTGAGGTAATTAAGAGCATTGGGGAATTTCAGTTTCTCAACAGTCTGCAATTTAAATGGCGCTGCATGGTGGGTGGCATGAGGTTCCGAGAGTGATGATCAAGGCCAGACCCTCAGAAAGGAGGGCCCCTTGAGGTAGTGTGAGTTGATGAACAAAGACTGGATAGTGCATGGCAGAGTTTAAAGTTACAGCTAGAACAAGAAACACATCACAACTGTCCCTTTGAATTTTGAGTGTTCCAGGATGAAATCCTGCAAGCCTGGGATAGAAGTGGTCAGAGTCCATGTGTTTGTCCCAGGGCAGGTTAATGTACTACACAAGCTATACAATTAAGTACAGGGGTTTCTGAGAAGAACGGATGACAATCTTTTGAGAAGAAATTCCAAGAAGACAATTGTCACTTTAATGAGCTCACAGAGCCAAATTCTCTTATATTAAAGTGCAATTCAACCAGGTTTCTTAGATTATATTTTGTTATATTTCATGGACAAGGTCTAAATTTGGCAACGGTAAAATCAACACCAAAGTTTAATCTAGGTGGAAAGGCTTTAGATTAATATTTTTGAACCGTGAGAAATAGCAGATGTTTAGCTCCCCATTACTGGAGAACAAAAAAAAATATATCACTTTCCAAAGAAAACACTAGTTATTTTTATTATCATTATCATTATTATTATTATATAATTGTGTCATTTCTCCTCTCCCCTTTTCACACTCTTCCCACTCCCATACAACCCTTCTCTGAAATTCTTGGCATCCTGTTTTAAACATTATTGTTCATATACACACAAGTGTCATTATACAGACTGAGTATGAGTATGCAATTTCTTCCAAAATGAAATATTCCTTCCAAGAAGGAAGAACATCCATAAAATTTAGTAACAATACCTACCTGTGTGAGAAAACTGAAACAAGATTTATGAAGTCCCTCCCCAAATTCTGACAAGCAGTATCACATTACTGTTGAGGATAATACTGACAGCTTTAAAGCCTGGGAGAAGTGCACAGAACTCCATCCATGCTTATTCAAGCAGTCATTACTCATGCTTGGGTGTGCTTTTTTGCTCTGGAGTATTCCTTTATACGGTGTGAATATATGTCACTCTGATTGCTTTACAAAAGAAGCTGAGTGGCCAATAACTGAAAAGAATAAGGTAAGGCAGCAGAGCCAGACTAGAAGAATTCTGGGAGGAAGAAGGGTGGTGTCTGAGGTGCCAGGCAGATGGAGCATGAGCAAGAGATGAACTTGCCATGTTATAAAGGCACTGCTCCATTGTGAGAGGGCTGGGGAGCCAGACCAAAGCTATGACTTGTTTCTAATAGCCCCTGCCAGGGACCAGGCCTTAGTTTTGGTTTACAGAGGTTAGCTGGAGCTGAATAAGCAGTTCTCAGGAAAACCGCAGCTCAGTGGCAACCAGCTAACAGGCAACCACTCACAACCTTTTGCTAGCTGGGGAGATGATCACAGTCTCCTGCTATCTAAAGATAGCTTTCCAAACCTTGCTGCTGGAATGTTCCTTACCACTAGAGCCACCCACCAATAAGCCCCCAGATTAATCTCTCCTCCCTGGAATTACCCTGATGCAGCTTAAACAGGGGCCTGTTAGTCTTTTGGCTATTGCCATGTACCACTCAAACTTGTTTTCAATTTTTTTTATTAATGAATGCTTTTGATGATTGCATATGTGACTGGTGTTCTTTTATGTGACTTCTTCCAGACCCTAACATTGGCAGAGTTTAAATAAGGAAATATGGGTTAACTTAAAATATAAGATCCAGTTATTAATAAGCCTGAGCTATTAGCTGACCACTTATAATTAATATAAGCCTCTGTGTGTTTATTTGAGAGTGTCTGTGTGACAGAAAATTTCCACCTACAAATGGAGCCCAAATGTTAGGCAACTACATCCACATTAAACCTGAGAGAGGTTTAAAAAAAATATTCTAGTCACACAGAAACAAAGACAAACTGAGCTTCCTAGTCTCATAATCTAATGCCAGCAGCTGTGCACAGATGCATCTCTGGATTACTGATTGTAAGATGGAACCAGCAGCCAACCAACATGCAGTAAGTGGCATGGCAGGTTACTACAATCTTTCAAATGGCCACAGTATCGAAAGACTTCTCTCAGCCACTGCCTGCATGCTTAAGTTACCACCACAAGCTCTGATAGCACTCTGCATGGTGGGTTTGTAGTTTTGATAATGCAGAAATAAAAGTATTATACATATGCAGTGAAGAGAGATTCAGCTTGGTACAAAAAAACCTCTAAATAGGTTACATTGTGTTTAAAAAATACTAAGGCTTGAGAGACAGAAGAGAAAGAATATATACAGTCTGATATTTTAAAACACAGTTTTAGAATAATGAAGATTTTAAAAAGAGGGTAAAGCAATTTTTAAAGCCATGTAAAGATGGAAAATACACAGAGAGTCTGGACACTGTATATTATTGTGTTGTCTTTGATTTTTTTTTTGAGTGCTGAGGAAGGAGTAATGGCTGCTAAGAGCCACTGGATTGGTCTTTCCTAGCCCTCTGCCATGGTGGATGGATCAAAGGCCCGAGATAACATGGGGTTAGCTCTTTAAACAACTGCAATAAAGCCTTGTGCTGTTTGCATCAAGTTTCTGCCTCTGCCCAGTGACTGGGGTCCTCGAGGTCCTGGCCCGAGGAGATCCTGGGTGCCTGAGCCTCTGGGGGTCTTACATTTGGGGGCTCATCCTGGTTTTGTGACCACCCCTCACCTGAGAGGAATTGAACTTGGAGGTAAGCGGGTACCCCATATTGTCTTGTCTACTGTCTGCTGGCTCTGTGTATTCTGTATTCTGTAAAAGCGCTTTAGGTTGATCTCCATCTCGGGAGGAGACAGAGAGTGTGAACAGCAGACATGCTAGTAGATCACCAACTGAAACCCTGGACGCTTCGGAAGTTCCTGTCTGGGAGCCGGTGAGGGTACAGTAGTTCTGCATTGGGGAAGTTATATGCCCTCCCGGCAGTCTGTATTTCTGGAGTGGTTTTGTCTGTCTAGGTGGAGACACGCATCTGTTAGTTTTTGTCTGTGTGTCTTGGCTTTCTGTTTTGTCTTATTTGTGACTTTGAAGATGGGACTGACATAACTACCCCCTTCAGTCTTCCTTTTGACTTTTGACCACTGGACAGACATTAAGGACCATAGTCAGTGAGTTAAAGTTACTACACCCCCTTCCATTGAGTCACATGGCGCCACACTAGGTAACTTTCTTTTTTCTGTCTTTGTTTCTATACCGTTTCTGTGAAGTCTGGAGGATGGGATCAGGCTGTGTGACTGGCCAGTTAATCGGGTTTGTTATCTGATCTGTTGCAATCCTCACCCTGCCTGCCTGCTTTTCGGTGCTGTGTCAGTTTTGTGTTTCCATGTCTGCTGATTTTGTTAATTGTGTAATCGTCTCTCTCTGTCCTTACCACCCACGCATGTGGCATACATGGGTCAGGGGTCTTTTCTTGCTGCCCTGAGCATGTGGTGTACAGGACAGGAGTTTGTCTGCCATATGCCATGGGTTAGAGTGTGCTGTGGCGGGGTCCTCTGTCACCGAGCACATCAGGTGAGGCTACTGTTCTGAACTCCAACCACTGCTGCGGCCCTCACAGCTGAGGCTGGCCAGTGCAGGTGAGTCTATCTCTCCATGCTCACCCACCTGTCTGTGAGGCATGCAAAGTGGGGCTCTCTCTGCCCCAACTGCCATCCTGCCTTGGGTCCTGGCATGTGTTGGGAGTTTCCCTGCCCTGAGCACATGGCTTGCAAGGTCACCAGTTGCCTGGCCTTCTCCTTGCTCCACACACTTGGTGTGCAGAATATTGGGGAAGGGACGCTTGGGGGTCTCTCTCCTGCTGCTGTAAAGGGACCAGCTTCCCTTTTGGCAGCCATAATGGTTGAACATCTGCTTCTATGACCTTGCCCTAGACACTAGAAAGTCTGATACCTGCCTCGTGACAAGAAAACAATCAGAAGTTAGTCACTAGGAAGTCAGATGCCTGCCTTGTGACAAAGAACCAATCAGAAGTTAGATGGTGGCGCTATGCTTTTCGACCCTGGGTGTGCTTTACGGACAAGCACACAGCAATGACGTAGAGACCATAGCAACTACCCTGGGAGGGCCTATGGACCATAACAGCCAGTTGACCAATCAACACAGGGCAAGCCCTCCAAGCCTGGAGGCACACCAATTGTGAGCCTGTGTGTACCCCTAGACACTCCTCTTACACTGTCCTATAAGATCTCTTGGGAGGCCCTAG